AAAAAAAAAAAAAAAAAAAATAGGGACTGAAGCTGGGCACAATGGTTCATGCCTGTAACCCTAGCACTTTTGGAGGCTTAGTCAGGAGGACTGCTTAAGGCCAGGAGTTCAAGACCAGCCTGAGTAAGAGCAAGATTCTGTGTCTATAAAAATAGAAAAATCTGGGCATAGTGGTACATACCTGTAGTCCCAGCCACTAGGGAGGCTAAAGCAGGAAGGATCCCTTGAGCCCAGGAGTCTGGGGTTGCAGTGAGCTATGGTGATGCCACTGCTCTCTAGCCCCAGCAACACAGTGAGATTCTGTCTCAAAAATAAACAAACAGGCTCAGCGTCTGTGGCTCAAGTGGCTAAGGCGCCAGCCACATACACCTAAGGTGGCGGGTTTGAATCCAGCCTGGGCCAGCCAAACAACAATGACGGCTGCAACTAAAAAAACAGCCAGGCATTGTGGTGGGCACCTGTGGTCCTAGCTACTTGGGAGGCATAGGCAGGAGACTCGTTTGAGCCCAAGAGTTGGAGGTTGCTGTGAGCTGTGATGCTACAGCACGCTACCCACAGGACAGCTTGAGGCTCTGTCTAAAAAAATAAATAAATAAATAAACAAACAAATAAGGATTCAGTGACCTTAGCATACAATGAAGCGCAATCTGTGGACAGAAAAACTGGATCCACCCTTGCTCCATGACCTTGGGGCAAGTCACATTCATCTCTAGGTATTTCCATTTCTTTACATTTTTTGAGACAGAGTCTCAAGCTGTCACCCTGAGTGGAGTGCGGTAGCATCATAGCTCACAGCAACCTTCAACTCAGGCTCAAGCAATTCCCTTGCCTCAGTTTTTCTATTTTTACTAGAGATGGGGGTCTCTCTTTTGCTCAGGTTGGTCTTAAACCTGTAAGCTCAGGCAATCTACCTGCCTCAGCCTCCCAGAGTGCTAGTTTTTCACTTTTAAATAGGGATAACACTAGCCCCTCCTATCTAAGGTTTTTACAAAGCTAAAATGAAGCCACATGGGGAAAAGTGTTAGGCAGCACCTGTGGCTCAAGGAGTAGGGTGCTGGCCCCATATGCCAGAGGTGGTAGGTTCAAACCCAGCCCTGGCCAAAAAAAGAAAGAAAAGTGTTGTGTAATTTAACACATTTGATAACTGCTGCTTTTAATATTTTTATAAACTCCTAGATGTTGGAAGTTAGGAGATCTGGGTTAGCTCTGCCACGGACAAACCTCCTGACCTTAGGCAAGACTCTGATCTCCATTTTCCTCATGTGAACAGCAGCAGTAAAACAACCCATCTCACCAAAGTGATGTGAGAGGTGAAAGTTAGAGCGCTTGAAAAGTTTAGCTCATGACATACCTGTTCCTCTTTCATCTCAGCGTTCCCTCAGAGTGTCTGATGCTTCACTTCACACATGTGGTGCCCAAAAATAAATACCTGTTTCATCCCCGTGGCACCATAGCCCCATATCTGCCCAATTCATCCTAGCCTCCCCAGGAAGGACCACACATTACAGGATGATATCAAGAGTGAGGAAAGAAGTAAACTCTTCCAGGATACAAAGAGATCAGGAGTTAGTAGGGCAGCCCTCCTCTTCCTTCTACTCCCTGCGACCTTTGACAGTAGGCACAAGAGATACACAGTCAAGCCAAGGAAAATAAGGAGGATCCCGGAGACTGTGGAGACTCCAAAGGCAGCTCTGACACTCCAGCCTTTAGACTTCCAACTTCTGGCACCATCGGGCTTCCTTCCACTCCTGTAGCCTGTAATATCTGTTCTGTGGGGCCAGAGAAGAGGCAGGGGAAATGAGCTGCTTAGAGCAACTCTGTCCTCAATGCACAAAATAAAGGCAAAGAGCTTTCTTGCTGCCTTGTGGGTTGTCTAGCCCATTCAGCACTCCAGAACAGAGGCAGAAATCCAGGAGGAAACTCTGAATCAAGTACTGGGGTAAGGTGCGGTGCCTCACATCTGTAATCCAGCAGTCTGGAAGGCCAAGGTAGAAGGATCGCTCGAGGCCAGGAGTTCAAGACCAGCCTGACCTACAGTGAGACTCTATAAAAAAAAGAAGTATCAGTTGGGCATGCTGGCTCACGCCTATAATACTAGCACTTTGGGAGGCTAAAACCGGTGGATCCTTTGAGCTCGGGGGTTTGAGACCAGCCTGAGCAAAAGCGAGATCCCATCTCTACTAAAAATAGAAAAACTGACTAGGCGTCATGGTGGGTACCTATAGTCTCAGCTATTTGGGAGGCTGAAGCAAGAGAATCGCTTGAGCCCAAGAGTTTAAGGTTGCTGTGAACTAAGACACAATGGCATTCTACCTAGAGCAAAAGAATGAGACTGTCTCAAAAAAAAAAAAAAATAGAAATATTAGTTGAGTATGGTGACAGGCACCTGTAGTCCCAGCTACTCAGGAGGATGAGGAAGGCAGATGGCTTGAGCCCAGGTATTTGAAATTGCAGTGAACTATGATCATACCACTGTACTCCAGCCAGGAAAACAGAGTAAGACTCTGTCCCCTCTCAAAAAAAAAAAGAATAAAGTATTAGACACTGAAAGAAACCCCAAATTATAAAGGATGCTAAAGGGTGAGGATCCCCAACATGAGTGAAGAAAGTCTTTACTAAAACCAGCACTCTGGAGCCTTGTAACCAGCATACGAGGTAGCCCATGTGAGCGAGCTAGCAACAACCTCCCTTCCTCCTGCCTGTCATTATGCTCTCTTTTCACGGGTTTATCACGGTTTATCAGAATAGCAAGCTAACAAGCAGGACTGCTTAGATGACTCAATTGTACACGATTTGGGTCAAGCAACACAAATGCCAGATAGGTGAATAGATTTCTTCCATTCATTTATATACAGGAACTCTGAGGTATCTGGGAGAATGACCTATGTACCCCAGTGCAAAGTTGTTATTATCACAAGTCCCTCAAATGTAAGCATTTCTGACTGTGTAGTAAAGAAACTCAAACTTTTCAGCATATGAACCATGGTTTATAAGCCAGGAGTCTGCCTGTCTTATAGATTAAAGGTCTAGTTTATTCCAAAACATATAGTTTTTCCTCTCCTTCCTTCTTATCCTTTCCTCTTTCTTTTTCTGTATTTCTAGGCTAACGAAGAATACAAGAACTCTTCATTAGCTTAATCAAGAAAAATGAGATTAGTCACAGAACAGTTCTAGGACAGGCTGATGGATGGCTTGGACTGACCCTCCAAGCAACCTCTGAAAGTTAAGAAGAGTACCCAGGAAAAAGTTCTGACTTCCCCCTCCTCACAGTCACTTTCCTAATATATCATTTTCCCCTCACACTCAGCAATCCATTTTTCTATCCTGAATCAGCATCCAGAATTACCCAAACCATGAATGACCAGGAGCCTTCCCAGAAAGCCATGAAGGGGACACGCCATAAACTTCCCCTTGAACTTGATTCGAACTCAAATTCTCAGTTCAACTCAGCACAGGTAGAGGGAGAGGCAAGAAAGATTCAGTCTATAGCAGGACCTTCCTAGGTCCCTCTATATCCATCTGACGTATTCTTCCAACTCCAAATAAGCGATATGCTGGAAAGAAGTCCTCTTACTACCCCCAGGAAGGAGGAGAGGCCCTATGTATGGAGATCTTGCTGGCTTGGTTCAGGGCCTCAGCCCAGTCTGGAAAGAGGCCCTCTTACTACCCCCAGGAAGGAGGAGAGACTGTACGTACGGTGATCTTGCTGGCTTGGTTCAGGGCCTCAACCCAGTCTTTCAGGTCTTTCTGGTCATTGGCTTGAAGAAAATATCTCTGAGACAGAGCATTGATAACTGAAAAAGTCATGGAGAAGAGGGAGAAATCATCAATCAGAACACAACCCAAAAAGAAAAGCAGAAGCAGCAAGACAAATGAACCCACAAAGCAGGTCAGGAAATTTACCATGAGGCTGAGTCACCTGCATGGATATTCAGGGAGCCCCAGATTACACCTGCTCGCTCTCCCGCTCATCTTTAGAAACAAGGATTATCCCATTGGCCATAAAGATGCCTGACAACTTTAACAGCAGCCTTAATGTGCTGTTCTGTGGTGACAAGGCTGGTCTATAACAGTGCTAAGGGATTTACAGTCATGATGGTATACAGACACAACAGGGTTGGACTGGGTGCCTGTCTATGGCTGGGAAATGGAATAAAGCTTATCTGACATCAAATCTGTGACCCTGGCCTCATGTCAACCTGTTTTGTCCTCTGAGCATCCTAATGGGCTGACAATGTACTGCTAGGTTTATTATTATAATTTTTTAAAGATATGATGACCACAAGATCTGAAAGTCATTTTTGAGCTTGGCCATGATGTTTGAAAGAAATGAAAGAATGAGAGCACCAAGGAAGTTTGAACCAATCTGAAGTGGGGAGAAAGAACAGCCCAAGGCATTACTTTTTACTCAACATCAGCCTCAACTGTGGGAGGTGAGCTTCGTGGAGTAGACCCAGAATTCATCAGCTCATTCAACTAATATTTACTGAGCACCCAACTATACACCAGGAGCCATCTAAGTGCTTGGAATACCACCATGGTAAAGCTGAGGAATATCCCGCCTGCACGAGGCTGACGTTCAGAACCATCCTTGACAGTCAACAGTTATGATAACATGGTGGGAGCCGAGTAACTATTCAGTGACTTACCCCCTGATTTCACAGATGTTCCCTGATGTGGGCAGGGAACACACCCACTGAGCAGCTTGGCTTCCTACATCATCCCTCAACACTGTTACTCTTTGGGCAAGAGAAACGCCACAGAATGTTCCTTCCTTTCTATTCTCCCCTCCCTGACAAAACCTCCCATGAGTATCCCCCTTCCCAGGCATTGCTTTACTCAGCTTTAAAATGAAGGTTCCCAGAAACTTCTAGAAGACATTTTGTGCCTACCCTATGGCATCAAGAAAACTAAAGTGCATAACTATCATTTAGCTATTAAATAAAACCAAAAAAAGATAAATTTTTGACATAATTCATAGTAGATATGCTAATGACAGTATAACATTATATACCCCCAGGAAAATGTACAATTATTGTCAGTTAAAAAAAAATTAAAACCAAAAGAAAAAGAAAGCTGAAATGTTACTGGCCCCTGTCTCTCTGGGCTTGTGTTATTAACAGTCTTTGCAGCAGAACCAAGGAAAGTGATACCACCTGACATCCAAGAATCTCCCTGTGATTGAAGTCACTCATACGCACAGGGCACAGTCACATGTGATCACAGGACTGTCTCCATGCAAAAGAGGAAGTTGTTGTACAGTGTTAAGAAAATCCATCCCCTGGCTCAGTACTTACCAAAGCAAAACGGCGTTTTTGGTTTCTGCTTTGGGGTAGCTATGCTCACCTAAATTAAATAAAAAATAAAAGAAACATGAAAATGTTTCTAACAGTGCTGAAAACTTATTGTGGAAGTTTTTATACATAAAGAGAGTACATCAAACTTATGTGTACATTTCAAAAAAAAATATGGTGAAAACTCTGTAGTTATCTTCCAGATAAAGAAATAAGTTTTATGAGTCCTATTGGTAGAAGCTCTATGCATGCCCCTTCCCTGGTAGAATCCCCACCCCTCAGAAATGACTACTGTTTTGATGTCTATGGTTTGCTTTTTGTTTTTTTCTTTTTCTTTTTTTGAGACAGAATCTCACTCCGTCACTCTGGGTAGAGTGCCATGGCGTCAATATAGCTCACAGCAACCTCAGTCTCTTGAGCTCAGGCTATCCTCTTGCCTCAGTCTCCCATGTCTGCAGCCACCAGACATGATGCTTGGCTAGTTTTTCTCTTTTTAGTAGAGATTGTTCTTGCTCAAGCTGGTCTCAAACTCTGAGCTCAAACAATGCACCTGTCTTGGCCTCCTTAGAGTCCTAGGATTACAGGAGTGATCACCACACCCAGCCATTGATGTCTGTGTTAATCTTTGTCTTTGCAAGAAAGACTTCTAAAAGTCATTTGAGTCCTAAAAAAATTCTCTTCAACCCACAAAATCTGTCCTGGCCTAACTCACGCTAGCAGGATTCTATTCTCTCTTCTCTCTCCAAGCACCAGCCCCCTCCCTAAGCAGTTCCCCAGCTGAAGGTGGTATTGCTACAGATACATTGATTCTAATCAAGAGCAGGAAATAAGAGGAGGTGCACACCATTCTTTGCATTCAGACACACTGAACAATTGCCTTTACATCTCTCCTGACCACCTAACCATGAAAAGGAGCACTTTCCTCACACCCACAGGGGGCTGATGGAGTCAGGGAGGGTACTTGTGTGTTTAAGGGAAGGGCGTGAGGAAGTAGAAGTATTTTTATACCTCCTCTTGCTTTATTCCATCTTACTTTTGTAATCCTACCCCTTGCATGTACATTCCTGAGTATCTACACATTTAAGCCTTCATCATTCATCTTCAAACACACTGAAAGAACATAGACAACCACTCATATTCCATCACATGCCCACAAGCACTGGGTGACTATCCTTGATTTAGGCTGAAGCTCCTCAGAGCAGGCCTCTACCACTGTGCCTGGGATCTCTAAGGAGGCAGCCACCTTCCCATAGGACCTCTGCTGGGGACTATTCACATACTGCCACAATCCTCCCTCAATCCCCTTTCCAGCCACAAGCATTCTTCTTTCTACTTGTCCTCACCCAAGGGCCTTAGGAGTGGTTCCTGCTTTAATGAGAGGCATTTTAGAACTCAAGAAAACCTGGAGTTGATATTAAATTCTCTTCATGGCTCACAGTTGCGAGGGTCTAACAATGACTGACCCACCAGTCTTCCCTACGTTCTCACTCTTGGCTCCAAGTTCTTCTTGTAGAACTGTCCAGATTCCTTAACCACAACTATCACCCCAAATACTCAAATGGAAACTGAGGTAGCACCTTATAAAAGATCAGAGGGCAGGCAGTACAGCCTGGGCTGTGGACACAGACTCTCAAATGACGGGTATCCCAGCTATGTGACCTCCATTTCCTGTTCTATCAAATAAAAGATAATAATGTCACCTGAACTACAGGTAAAATGCTGAGGGCCCAAGAGCTTCTCAGGGCCTGCAAAAAAATACAACACCCAGAAAAATTGCCTAGCCTCCAACATACAAATCAAAGATGGCATATCCAATGTTAATAAACATTTAGTTAAATGTCTGTATAACGGCATTATGGCAATCTGACAAGTACTTAACTAGATGTGTACAAGCTGTCACAGTAAGTCAACTTCATTCACGTTTCAACGAAACATTTTCACTTTTCAATGAAACACTTTCACTTTTCACCTTTCAATGAAACATTCAAAAAAACTTCACTACATTTGCACAATTAGTAGCTTAGATTTTCTTACTTCACAAGAATCCCTGTGTATATGCAAGAGGATTGCCTGAAAATTACAACCAAGCATAAATTAAATGAGCTACTCATCACCAGATCCTTACAAAAGCAAAATGACTATAATTCTTTCAAATATTTAAAGCCAAACAATTATATTTACGGAATATGGATGCATTTTTTATATGTTTACCAAAATGTGAGGCTATAGGTCCTAAAAAAGTCCTGAAAAAAATGAGGATTTAAGCAAAGGGAAACCCACACATCCTAAGTGTAGACACAAAGTCCCCACACTCATTCGTGTTCCAACTCATAGGCCACTGGCAATCTATGGCCCAGTGGCCCAGCCCCCTCGCCATGCTGCGTCCCTGGGTCTCTGACCCCCGAAGGCAGCCTGAACCACAATGTCCCAGGACAACAGCAGTCTATGGCCCAGTGGCCCGGCCCCCTCACCATGCTGCGTCCCTGGATCTCTGACCCCTGAAGGCAGCCTGAACCACAATGTCCCAGGACAACAGCAGTCTATGGCCCAGTGGCCCGGCCCAGTGGCCTGGCCCCCTCACCATGCTGCATCACTGGGTCTCTGACCCCTGAAGGCAGCCTGAACCACAATGTCCCAGGACAATGGCGGTCTATGGCACAGTGGCCCAGCCCCCTCACCATGCTGTGTCTCTGGGTCTCTGACCCCTGAAGGCAGCCTGAACTGCAGTGCCACAGGACAACAGCAATCTATGGCCCAGTGGCCCAGCCCCCTCGCCATGCTGCGTCCCTGGGTCTCTGACCCCTGAAGGCAGCCTGAACCACAATGTCCCAGGACAACAGCGGTCTATGGCACAGTGGCCCGGCCACCTCACTATGCTGTGTCTCTGGGTCTCTGACCCCTGAAGACAGCCTGAACCACAATGTGTCACCCTGCTTGCCGCCACTGTGGTCTGTCAGTGACTCATGCTCTTGTTGAGGATGATTTGGGCAAAGCAACTCATTACTGAATTAACAGCATTGTTTCTAGTTCTGCCTTGATGGGCCACATAGCAAGGGTAAGACTCTCTGTGTCTGCCATCAGCTTCCTGATTAGTGAAGCCAGAGTAAAATTACTAGTCCCCCTCTTACAGTCACAGAATAGCAAAAGAGGAACATGAAGTTATACCTGCCTGTTGCTGTGCCCTTCAGAAAGAAGGGCCAAGGGAAGATTCTAACTTATTATGAGGTGGGGCCTTGGTCTCTTCCAAATACCCAGTCACTATGGAAGAGGATCCCTACCCACTCAGAGGAATAATCTCACCCAACCCCAACCCCACTGCATGTGAGTAATTGTGCCCCTTTCAGATCTGGTGAAGAAACAGAGAAGAGCCTCACAAAGAGGTGTGGCTACAGATGGCTGAGGAAACCTGACAGCCTGACTCTAGCACACTGATAGGACTGCCCCACAGCACAACAAACTCTCAGGAACTAGCTCTTATCAGATCAAACACAGACCACAGGAGCAGCAAGCTAGTCAGTGGCTGGTAAGGCTAGGGCCAGTCCCACCCTATCTTCCCTTGGCTGGAAGGGACCTGGCCCCTCTGGCAGAAGTGGCAACAAACAAGGTCTTAGGTCTGATGCAGCTCTGCCCCCATGTCTGGGTGACCTCACCCCAGGAGGTGGTATCAGGGGGAAAGGAACAGCAGCCACCCACACAGGACGACTGAAAGGGTTCTGAAGTGGGGTCTGGAGACCAGCTTCAGGGAGTCAATGAGCCCCCTGAAATTATCGGCAAAGTCAAGATGTATACACACAACTATACACTGATCTGGAAACTGAGTCCATGCTTTTCATCAGATATTCAAAAAGATCCACAACCCCCCGCCCCCCCCCAAAAAAGTTATGGCGGCGCCTGGGGCTCAAAGGCATAGGGCGCTGGGCCCATATGCCGGAGGTGGCATGTTCAAACCCAGCCCTGGCCAAAAACTGCAAAAAAAAAAAAAAAAAGAAGCACTGTTCTAGGAAGTTCTTCGCCACAAGTAACAGAAGCCAAGGCCCAGACAAAATAGGACAACAAAGATGGGGTGGAACAGTGGGGTTGGCTATGCAGAGATGGCTGGACTGGAAGAAAAGGACCATCAGACAAAGTCAAAGGCAATTCTTTTCTGGTTCTTCAATTCTTTTCTGGTTTTCCCAAGAATTGGTTCTACTTCCATGAACACCCTGGAGGCCTCTTGATGAAATGCCATTCATTTCTGCCTCTCTGAAAGAACATGCACTGGTCCCCATCTTCCCAATGCTAGCTATCAGGAGAGAGCAGAAGCATGCCCTAAGCCTGGCAGTAGATGCTTCCTCTGGGAGGTGATCCCTAAGGGTTAACAGGAAATACCCTGGAATGCTGGATTGGATACCAGTCACACAGGAGTTAAAAGTCTCAGCTCTTGTATGTAACCTGAGCCAGTAGCAGCTGTGGGTTTTGCTCACTCACACACACACACACACACACACACCCCACCCATCCAGGCTTGACTCTCTCAGGAAGGGCTAAAAGGCAGGGCATCCTTTACAAATGAGGCAGCCTCCAAAGCTGAGGACTAAATTGCTGAGCTGCTTTTATAAATCATGATTCAGCAGATTGTATTTCACCCTCCTGCACCAAAAACAAACAAACAAAAAGTCTTCCCAAACCTATCCTAATGGAAGAGGGTTTCAGTTTTCATTTATTATGAGGAGGTTCTCTGCTTCCCCCTCACCCATCTCAATTCTCTTTTTCTGAATCTCCTGGAGAAATGACCTAACGAGACTCAGCAAACTGAGGATGAGAGAAGGAGGAAAGGCAGGCCCCAGGCCTTGGGCTGGGCTGGCCTGGCCTGGCCTGGGGAGGCAGCCACAGTGCTCACCACAAAGCAAGCAGAACTGCCTGCAGCTGTGCTAGCAAAGCTGCACTTTAAAAGACCCTTTCCTCCTCCCCCAGGTCATTCTCCCCCACCCCCAACCCTCCCGCTCCCCTGCTGGGTATCTTCAGCCTTTGTGCTGCTCCCAAGCACAGAACAGTCTACCCCTCCTGTTAAAGGTGGGCTCTCCTCCAGAGGCCTCTGGCCCCCTCCTGCTCTTCTCCTGGCCTGTGGAGGTGGAGGGCTCCCCAAAGCTTGTTTGTTTCAAGAGGGAGCCTGCAGCCACTCAACTCAGGGCCTAGGTCTCAATCCCCTGAGGGTGCCATGTGAGAGGGCCCACTAGGCACCAAAAGGTCCCCAAGAGGCCTGAAGCAAGGGTGTGTGCGGAGAGAGCAGGACTTCCAAAACCTTGGTGCTGGCTGGCTGCCACCTGGCACTCCTTACGGTACAAACAGTTCCTCTTTCCGGGGAGGCTCTAAGTCCCCCAGCCTTTCCATCCCTGAGCATTCTGGATCAGCAGTGGCGCCTGCTCCAGGGAGGGGCAGCCGAAAGAAGCTGAATTCAGCAGTTACAGGAGAGCATCGTTCAACAGCCCTCAATAAATAAGAGGGGGGCTGCTTTTGCCCCTTCTGCACAGACAGGACCATGGGATGGCTTGGCAGCTACCCGCCAGACTCTCCAGCTGTTGTCTGGCAGCTGAATAGATTCCTGGCACATCTGAGTAGCTTCTCCAGGCATTCTCCAGGCAGTAATGCTGCCAGGTAATTTATAAAAATTCCAGTGAAGCCCCAACACTTTCTAAGTGTCTCTGTTTAGCTGTACCCTTTGAAAGAATCTTCTACAGTTATTGGAGTTTTGATTGCTTTTGTATTCCTTTTTGTCTCAATTTTAAAAAAGATTATGCCTACTCCCTAACCCCAGCTTAACCGCCACCTCCACCACATCCACAGGAGCTGGGAGCAGCAGGGACTGATCTGTCCAGGCCGCAGGTCCACCCTCCAAGAACTTACTTAACCAGCCCTAAAGCCCCCGCAGTAAGCAGCAAAGCTTCCACAAGTGATATATGGGGAAAAGCGAGAATTTTAATGCCCATGCACCATCTCCAAATAGTAGCACCCAAAGGATTTGACACTCCCTCTTGTTTAGATACTAAACCTACTTAAAGAACATGAATTCGCAGAGTTCCAGGCCAACATTACCTTTGAGATGTAGGTCAGCTGTAAAGATCCAACAGCTCCTGCCCCAATTGCCAGGTTCTGAAAGACACAGAGATTTCATTTTAGAAAGGATGCTATGTGAGGCCGTGGAAACAGCACCAAGCGGCAGGAGGCCAAGATTCCAGCTCCGTTTTCCAGCCTAGCATAATAATTTCTGTAAAATAATTCAGGATTCCTGATGGAAACCTGCGACAATAACATTACTGCTAGCCCAGTGATTGTTAACCGATAGGCCGTGAGAAGATCTTAGGTGTGTTGTGAAAATTTTTAAAGATTATTAATTAAATTATTTTTTACCAGGAAAAAAATTTCATTCTGAAACACAGCTTAGTAGGAAAATTCATCAGAATTCTATAATTAAAAGGTTAAAACAGTTTTAAATACAAGCTAAATTACCTTCTTCTGGGATTAACAATTGGAACCCCAAATATCTCAACATCTTAACTAGAAAGGCCTTCACAATAATTCTTTAAAATTGTAAATGATGCCAATTTTTGAAAACATAGTTGTCGATCTTTAGGATTAATGCCTGAGTTACGTAACAGGCTCCCTAAATATGAATATGTCCAAGTGGAATTCCCTAAAGAGAGAAATAAAAATTTTTCTCTAATTAAAAAAAAAAAAGCTTCTTTTTTTTGAGACATAGTCTCATTATGTTGCCCTCGGTAGAGTGGTGTAGTGTCACAGCTCACAGCAACCTCCAACTCCTGGGCCTAGGCGATTCTTTTGCCTCAGTCTCCCACATAGCTCGGACTACAGGCGTCTATCACAATGCCCAGCTATGCTTCTTCTTTCTTTAGAGTTTAAAATTGATGGATTCAATGGCAAAGCTATGCAACAACTCTGGAGTGGAAGGAAAGGGATCTCTTTGTGGCAGGAGTTGCCCAGGGAAGTATTTGTGTCAGATCAAGTGATGGCAACCTTCCTGACTCTGGCTCCTTCTAAATGGATAGCAATTCATCACACCCAAACCTACCAAAACAAATTAAAAAACAAAACCTCCAACCCAGAAAACCTTTCCTGGATTTCTACTGCAGATAATATGTGCTGAACCCCAATTTTCTGCTCTAATATGGGTCCCACTGACCTAACAGTCTGTTGGGGCACTGACTTACTGGGTCCTGGGCAGGGAGGGCTTTTTACTAAGCATCACTGTGGGCATGGAGACAGCTATAATGGGTGCAGCTTTCAGCAGACAATACAATGTCACTGGACCACAGAGATCCATTTCATCTGCCTCCATTTTCCACTGTAAAACCAAAGGCTGCAATTGGGAAAATACACAGACTTTCTCAAACGACAAATGAGGAGACTGAAGGCTATAACACTTCTTCCTTAGAGAAAGACTGGAAGAGGTGTCTACAGTTATGCAACAGATTTCTGCAGACTTTATGGTAACATCCAAAAGCAATAGTAGCAGCAGAAGAGGAAAGAAGGATGTTTACACTTTGGACTTTGTATCAGGCACTTAAATTACTGGAGACATGCCATTCTGAACCAAAGATGTGAAAACTGGGTTGGCGTAATCATCACAAGTGTCTAATAATGGGCTTTCAGAAGCAAAGTGGAGGTGTGGGTTGAACCTCTGTCCATCCTTAATGCTGACTTTCAAGTTTTCTAAATGCCCATAACCACAGCAACAGTAGCAGCGGTGGCAACATCAGGAATGGTTCTGTAGTGTCTGTTTTCTGTGTATGTTCTGTGGCTAACTGGAACGTTTTGGTGTCACACTGAGAAGGCTCTAGGGTATAGCACACCTACTGCCCAGGGTCGATCAGATCCATGCTGGAGCCAAACATCTTCACCAGCTGTTCCTTATACTGTGAGATATTCCTCTTCATGATGTCCATGCAGAGCCCCAGAAGCCTCTCAAATGCTTGTACATCCATAACTAAGCATTTGACATCTCCAGTTGCATAAGCAGAAGCAGCTCTGGGTTTGTTCGTGACCAGTGGAACCTCTCCAAAGCACTGCCCCTTGGGACAGCGGGCAATCTCAACTTTTAGGTTCCCATTGTCCTTGTTTGTTTTACTCTTGCTTTTAAGCAAAATGCCCACTTCACCAGACTCTATGATATAAAAGCTATCAGGCTTTTCACCCTGAGTGATTATGCGCTCTCCATCCTTATAAATCTTCTCTCCTCTTACATCCACAATTTTCATTCGTTCTGATACCTCTAGAGATTTAAGAAGGGGCACAGACTCAATAAATGATTCAAACATCTTCCTCTTTTTTGCATTGTTTTTCACTATGATTCTTCTAAAAGTCAACCAGTCCAGTCCCCAAAGAGAGCCTTCTGGAGTGGCAACAATGGCAGCTCTCGGGGTATTGTACATCAGAGCTAATTCTCCAAAACTGCCCGGTTATCATGCTGACCAACACAACGGGTTTCATTATCCTTTGTTACCAAAATATCATAGGTTCCCTGTTCTATGACATAAAAGTTGTCTCCTTCATCTCCTTGGTCAATAACATGCCCATCAACTGTGACTATCCTTTCAAACATGGCATCAAGGACTTGAGAAAGCTGTTCCTGATCAAGATTTTTGAAAAGAAGAGTATCTTTGCAAGCTTCCTGACATCTGCATCTCTGTTCATCAGTTTTAGGATGAATCACCCTTGGATCAGTATCTTTCTCTTCCTCATCAGGGTTGTAAGTCTCAGCACAGACTGATACTCGCCTATTAAATCTGTTAGGACCTGGAACAATCAGGAAGATCCACCAAACTTTCTCTTCAGAGCTTTTCCTAGATTTTCATAACACAGGCATGACTGATTAAATCACAGTACACAAGACTGAACTCAATCTCCAGCTCCTCTTCTCCCCAGTCTCTAAATTATTTTTGAAAGAAGTTCAAAGCATAGTAGGTATATATATATATATATATTTTTTTTTCCAGTTTTAGGCCAGGGCTGGGTTTGAACCCGCCACCTCTGGCATATGGGGCCGGCGCCCTACTCCTTTGAGCTACAGGCGCTGCCCTATTCTTTTTTTTAAACTTGTTTTTTGAGACAGTTTCACTAAGTTTCACATAGTTTCACTATGTCGCCCTCGGTAGAGTGCCATGGCTTCACAGCTCATAGCAACCTCAAACTCTTGGGCTTAAGCTATTCTTTTGCCTCAGCCTCCCAAGTAGCTGGGACTATAGGCGCCTGCCACAACACCCAGCTATTTTTTTTTTAATTGTAGTTGTCACTGTTGTTTATCAGGCCCAGGCTAGGCTCAAACCACCAGCCCCGGTATATGTGGCTGGTGTCGTAACGACTGAGCTATAGGCACCGAGTCTATACTCTTTTTTTTTTTTTTGATCAATATAATTTAAGTGTGCAATGGAAGTTTAACTATAGGTTCAAGTATGCTGTGAGATTAAAAAAGGTTGAAAAACACTGCTCCCTCCTTATTAACTATAGAGAGGTAGTCTAGAATAGTGGGTAAAAGTCTATGCCCCATTATGAATAACATTAAGCCCAAGTTTTTACCTTCTGTAAAAATAGGGATAATAATAATACCTATCTCATATGACAGTTGTAAAGATGAGTTAATATATCTAACAGCACTTGGAATTATCTCTGGCACATAGAACACTCTCAATAAGTGTTAGCTATTATATTTTTTCTGCCCTGAAATCCCATTGAATTTGTTCTGCTTTAAGCTACTTCAAAATTCTTTTCATAATACATAAGCTGCAAACTCACACTGTACAGAAATAAAAGAAACATACCTGTTCAGCCTGCTTCACAGAACTGTTCAACAAGTAGTAAACAAAATGCTGTCTGCACAATGAAACAGTAAGTATGCGTACTACTAAAACAGCAAGAAACTCACAGGCACCACGTCTGGCAATGTATTCCACCTCGACACAAGCTCTTTGGCTTTCTGATTTCTCTGTTGTCAAGGATGAAGCAATGAAGACACAGGGACAGCCACATACCAAAGTAACAGTCCAGATTAGAAATCACAGCTGTGGATCTTCTAACATCCACATTGGAAAATCCACTCCCTCAAGAACCTAAGACTCTGTTCATAGTTCCTGGAGACCTCTTAAACTGTTGCCAACAGCCTCAAAGACAAACCTTTGAAACTCCCAGTACCTGGGGTAATCTCAAAGGTGAATCTTGAATAGAAAGAATTGAGGTTATTTACCCAAAGATTAACAGAGAAAAAATGACCCCTATATATCAAAGAGATATCTCAGCCTGTAGAGAAGAGTCCTTCTAGCCTCCCCCATCTAGATTAACATGCGTAATTTGAAGCAAATTCAAGCAAGAAAGTAGATCTGGAGATAGTATGACAAAAAAAGAATTCTCAGAATTGAAAGGACCCTGTACTCTGTTTCCTGTTGTAATAAGGTGGGAAATGGAAAAGCTGCCTTGAAGCAGCCAGATTAGCATTTGGAATGGTAGATGATCTGATTTATACTGTCATTTACACAATGTTTTCAACAACCAAGTGACTGCTTTTTTTGTTTGTTTGTTTTGGCTGGGGCTGGATTTGAACCCACCACCTCTGGTATATGGGGCCAGCGCCCTACTCCTTTGAGCCACAGGTGCTGCCCCTATTTTTTTTTTTTTAAGAAAACCTCTATTTCTGTGGTTTTCAACCTCTTATCTCACAGCACACTTTAACCTATAGGTAAACTTTAGCAGCACACTTAAATTATGTTGATCATAATAGAATAAATAGGCCTTGGGCGGCACCAGGGGCTCAGTAAGTAGGGCCCCAGCTCCGTACACCCCATATACTAAGGGTGGCGGGTTCGAACCCAGCCCCTGCCAAACTGCAACAAAAAATAGCTGGGCGTTGTGGTGGGCGCCTGTAGTCCCAGCTACTTGGGAGGCTGAGGCAAGAGAATTGCTCAAATCAAGGAGGTGGTGGTCCTGTGAGCTGTGACGCCATAGCACTCTACCAAGGGTGAGACTCTGTCTCTGGAAAAAAAAAAAAAAAAAGAAGAATAAATAGGCCAGGTGAGGTGAGGTGGTTCGTGCCTGTAATCCTAACACTCTGGGAGGCCAAGAGAGGTGGATTTCTTGAGCTCATGAGTTTGAGACCAGCCTGAGCAAAAGCGAGACCCTGTCTCTACTAAAATAGGAAAACTGAGGCAAGAGGATCACTTGAGCCCAAGAGTTGGAGGTTGCTGTGAGCTATGATGCCCTGACATTCTACCCAGGTCTACCCAGTATGACAGCTTGAGAGTCTGTTTCAAAAAAATAAATAATGTATTTATTATGCTTTTAACTTCTTTCAAAAATGGTGTAATGATCTTTAAAAATTTTCAAGGTACACCTAAGATCTCTCACAGCACACTATTCTGTCATAGCACAGCCGTTAAAAACCACTGCTCTATTGAGTAGGGAGACAGGTCTCATACCCCCTAAATCAGAGTCCAAAAAGGAGCCACAGCACCCAAGAAGGCACACTGAGTGACTGACACTGCCCTGCAGGGGAACACGAACCACTCTGGGCAAAGACTCACCTCTGCTCAGAGTCAGACTACCAGAAAACCCACCACTACCTGGCCTTATTATAGCCAGTGGCTCCAGGAACAGAGAGACACAGACCTTTCTGCTGGAGACTGAGCATCTGCCACCACCCCCCACCCTATTTCGCATTAGGAAAGTGCCTTGGAATGAGGGCATTTGTCCAAGGTCACACAATTGGTGGCAGAGCCTGAACCAAAGCTGAAGTCTCCTGACTTGCACACCAATGCCCTAGAAGCAGCACACTGTAATTTAAAAAGCTTGAGCGGCTGGAATTCTAGCTGTGACATTAATGCTCTGTGACCACAGGCAAGCCTCTTTACCTATAAAATGGAGATAATAAGTTCTGTTTCACAGGGCGGCTGGAGAATTATGTGGAGATACATGGAGGGAGCCTAGCCTATAGTAGTTCCTACCCCATCTTGCAACACTAATTATAAGATGTAAATGCCAAGTCTCAGAGCTGCCCTTGCACAACTCACTCTCTTCACCCTAAACCACAGCCCAGAAGCCTCCAGCGCCCAATCCTAAATTATGAGTAATGACGTGGGATTTGGGGAAGCATTCGGACACTAGCCCACTCGTAATGACAGACACGAGCAGATCAAATTTCAACTACTTCATCCCCCACCAGCCCCTTGAGGACCGCTCCACCCTCGGACCCCAACCTCCCCGGGAGCTCTCCTTGTTCAGAGATGATACAGCAGCAGCTCTGCTGGCCCAGTTACCCCAGGGGTCTGCTCCTAGGCTCAAACATGCCTCTTTTTTTGAGACAGAGTTTCACTTTGTCACCCTCAGTAGAATGCTGTGGCATCGCAGCTCACAGCAACCTCAAACTCTTGGGCTCAAGAGATCCTCTTGCCTCAACCTCCCGAATAGCTGGGACTACAGGCGTCCACCACAACGCCTGGCTATTTTTTTGTTGCAGTTTTGCCAGGGCCAGGTTCAAACCCACCACCCTCAGTATATGGGGCCAGAGCCCTACTTACTGACCCACAGGTGCCGCCATGACCGGCCTTTTAAAAGGCTGCTTCCCCTCAACACACCTTCTTCCCCACCCAGGGGAAATGGATGACACAGGAGTAAACAGCCCCAGGACTTGTGAAGCTTGATTCAAAGTGATGCTCAGTGTCCACACAAATGAATGGACCTAGAAGATTAATGGTGACAGCTGACTGCAGGGATGGCATACCAGCGGCCCCAGGCAGACCTTCCTGATCAAAGAAGAATATGCCAGCAGGCCTGGGCTGATAGCCTCAGCACAGGTGCGAGGCAGGGACACCAACTAACAGCACCCAGGAAGGGGTGCCCATGAGACTGCTTCCCTGGCTCACTCCTTTTCTTATAGGAAAAGGACAAACTCAGGACCCTCCTTCACGAAACATCCTCTACCAACTTCAGCCTGCTCTGGCCTCTCCTCTCTCTGAATTCACATACGCAGATTGCTTCTCCAGCTTTGGTACATACCACACTCTCCTGGGGAGCTTGTTTTGAAAAGCCCAGGCTTGGGCTTCACCCATAAAAAACTTGATCAGAATGAAGTAGAATGTGCTCAGAATATGTTTTTTTTTTTTTTTTTATTAAACTCTCCCAAGTGACCCCTAAATAGGCCCACATTTAAGAAAAGAATATTTGGGTGGTGGTTAAGTTCCCAAATGAGTCCCCAAAAGCCTGCTGAGCTAGTAAAGGGCTGGTTCACCATTGGCAAACAATGTTTCTTTGGGATGACACTTCCCAGGTTCCAACTTGGTTGTTACTATTAATAGTTCCCATGGCCTAGGCAGGGCCTCTGTGGGACAAGAACCAGAATAGGGTAGAACAGGCAGGAAAGGAATGACCCAGGATGAAAAAGGGCTCAAAGACTTGAGGACAGAGTTGAGAAATGGACTACAGGGGAACACAAAGCCTTGTGCTGAGGGCATCTGAGCAGATTCACAGCAAAGACAGAGGCTGGTGGAGAAAAGTTCTGGAAAGCTGCTTAGGTGAATCACCTAGGGAGATTTTTCAACAAAAACCTCCCATGCTTGATCCCCGGGGTTGAAATTGGTCAGAAACAGGCACACCTGGCACTGACTGGTCCTGCTCACTCTGCAGTGGAGAGGCAGCCGCTGGTGAGAGAAAGGCCAGGCCAGCTGGCCACCCATAGACTGACCCCAGCTGCTGCACCAGCAGTGACAGAGAGGAGGAAGGAAAAGTGGGGTGGAGCAGGGGGAGGGAATGGAGATTCCCCGGCCAGGCCTGGCTGGCAGCAGCAATCCCACCTGCGGATGTCTG